TCCTGCTAATTTTATTTCAGTAAAATCAATATAGATTACAAACCAACAAATACCTGTTTAACACCAAGGCAATCTGTAAATTTAACTCAAAAAGGAATTTTCCGATGCTTATTTTTGTATAGAAGGTTTCAACGCGGGCTGACTAGTTATGGTACGAAGAACTTCCAATGCGCTTGCGTGACCTGGAATTCTGGGAGTGGTTCTGCAGTAAATTACTCCTGCTAATTTTATTTCAGTAAAATCAATATAGATTATAAACCAACAAATACCTGTTTAACACCAAGGCAATCTGTAAATTTAACTCAAAAAGGAATTTTCCGATGCTTATTTTTGTATAGAAGGTTTCAAATAGTTTACTGGTTCGCATTAATTTAACTGGTTCGCACCTAATCATGTGTTCTACGCTGCAAAGCATACAGTTGCTACTGATGGATGAATTTAGTGTTTGTCGCGTCAATTGAAGCTCTTTTATAAAATATATTGAAGGTATTTAACTTATGTAATTAAATCTACAGCACAAACATTGGTTTATTACATATTTTTAGCTTTTCAGTTTTTACTGCTTTTACTTTCGTTTTCACTACAAATCAGTTCGATCCCGATGCTAAATAGCGGACAGACTTGTTAAGTCATACAAAAGATACTTCGGAAAGTAAACACAACTGGCTAAGCTTGCTCGTTTGTTGCCCCCCGCTGAAATTAGAGAATATCAATTTCAGTCTGTCTTTCCGTTTATCTATAGTTCTGTCTGTCTGTAACACTTTCACTTTCCCGCAATATTGCGTGAAGTCTTTGGGCTTTTGCAGTGAAATTTTACACAACTGTTTACACCTTATATGGCCTTTGGAAGACCCTCTTGATTTTGAGGTCAAAGGTCAAGGTATTAAATTAAGAAATTCTGTCTGTTTAAACAATTGTTTTCGCGCGATATCTCTATAAGCCATTGAGCTTTTGCAATGAAATTTTATACCAAAACTCCCTATGGCCATATACATGATATATATGGCGTAAGGAATACCCCTGTGTATTTTGAGGTTCAAACGTCAATGTCATAAATTCATACTTCTGTGTGACTCTGTGTAAAATTTTCATTTCCAGTCAATATCTCAAGAAGGTTTTGAGTTTTTGCAATTAAATGTCATAAACCATAACTCCCTATGGCCATGCCCTGGACCCCCCCCCCCCGATCTGCGCATGCTTTTTTATCCGTAAAATGGCCGTAAACTACGACCTGATGATCTAGGTTGTGGCAATCATATTTATGAATTAATAGGTTTATTATATTAAAAGATGTATGATAAATGAATTTATAGCCAAGAGTGATTCAACCGGCGGCATGATAAACTCTAACAAGGATGATAGTGAAGCTTAATTATTGGGCTCCGTTTTGTTAAAAATGGCATAATGTCCATATATCCCCCTCTCCCTAAAATCTTAAAGATCTGATAATGAGATTATAGGTTTATATAACCTCTTTGAATTATGTTATGTAGATTGGAACTTCAATGTTTTTACATACTTTCCGTTCTTTTGATTTTGAGATAAAAAATGCAAGAATCTGCATGCAAAAATGCTTCTGTTCCTATGCAGAAAAAATATCAAGACGATGTTTCAATTTTAGTGCCCAACTCTGCTACTTATTAAAAAAAGATTTGTTTTTAAAAATTTAGAAATTTATTTTGTATATTGTTTAATGGACGTTGAAATTGAATTCTGTTCGTTATTTCCATATCCTTCTTGGAGGCATTTTTTCAGTTCTCTTTGATTCTTTAAAATATTATCACAGAGAAGAAAATCCACTGGCTGACTCTCTAAGCTTTTTTCAAAAGCTAAACTTGTGTATCCTTATGTCAGAATCAATTAATCAAACGCTCAGCTGCCTCCATAAAACCCTACTCGCGAAATGGCGGAGTCTACGGAGACAGCCGCCATTTTGGACCCGCTTCAGATTTTTGAATGTTAATATCTAGACTTTGGATTTGTCAATATTCAAACAGATTATATAGTAAGCATCATTGGAAAGGTCTCTATTACCCAAGCTTAAAATACTTCAAAAATATTGAAAGACAAAAAAGTTAGAAAAATCGACTTTTTAAATTCGCATCTGGTAACAACAGGAAGTATTGACGACGAACGAAAAGTTGCGTCCTGGATGGTAATTACGACGATCTATCATCCCTGAAAGTTTCATTTTGATATCTTTTACCGTTCTTGAGAAAATCCGTGGACAAAATGTCATTTAAAAATCAGGAAATGTCCCGTAACTTGGCACCGGAAGCGTATCTTCAAAAAATCTCTCAGATAAAATAACTTCAGATAACAACACATTATTTCCGTAAATTTCATGAAAATCCATCCAGTAGTCTTTGAGAAATCGCGTGCACAAAATTAGATGGTCAGAATAATAATAATAATAATAATAAGAAGAAGAAACAGTAGAATCACTATAAGGTCTTCCGTGAAGACGGAAGACCTTAATAATAATAAGAAACAGTAGAATCACTATAAGGTCTTCCGTGAAGACGGAAGACCTTAATAATAGAATCACTATAAGGTCTTCCGTGAAGACGGAAGACCTTAATAATAATAATAACTAGAGCAAAGCTCGTTGCAAAGCAACGAGTAGGTCTTCCGTCCTGTTTGACCGGAAGTAACTTTCATTTTTCAAAAAATGAGTATTGACTTCCAAAAATGGTTAATTTCTTCCAAAGCTATGTTCATTTTTGCAAAATTTAGCCATTTTATGCTACTTCCGGTTTGACCGGAAATGACATCGACGGACGGAAAATTAAGTTTTATATTTGCTTTCACATCTGTTACCCCAAAACGTGTCAAGAATGGCAAAGATATGCATTTTCTGAAGACTCTATTAGATTAAGCTTGACATTTTGAACAATTTTGCTTCTTCGGTGTATTACAAATTCTCAATATTTTTTGAGATATAAAGAAAAGAATTTCGGCCCCTCTTAATCCCTTATTTTAGGGGTCAGCCCCTTTTTTGTGATATTGGATGAAAGACCTTGCACCAGCTTTGTTTTATATGTTATAACAAATTATTTACAGGTTAAGAAATATAATAGAAGAGGATTTGAAAAATTTGAAATTTGGAAATGCCTTTTTCGGTACATAACGAGCTTCCGTACACAGCAATTTTGGTGAATATGAAATACGTTCCGCACAACTACATTTATTGCTCTATTATCAGTGAAAATCTCAAGTTTCTATCTTAAACCATTTTTGAGAAAACTCGCGGACAAACTAACCCTCTAAAATTCACTAAAATGCAAAAATCTCGGAACCGGAAGTGGCGTCATTAAAAAAAAAAGATATATAGATGTTTACATGTTCTATCAGACCTGAAAGTTTCTTGAAAATCGACCGAGCCGTTTCCGAGAACTCGCGTGAAAAAATCGGTAATAACAAAAAAACTGTGGAAAATAAACCTAAGAATAACGGAAAAGTCTTCCGTTGGAAACGGAAGACCTTAATAAGAAACAGAGTAAAAACAATATGTTCCCCAACTTCGTTTGGGGAACATAACAATCAATACAATTTTGTCAATACACAGACACTCTAAATTATTCAATTATTTGGACAACATTGTTTGGCAGAAAATAATAGTGATATTCCGTTCGCAGTGAATTTACACACAACAGATACATTATTTTATTCATTTCAAATATTCATTAACACACATATAAAATAATGTTGAATTGTTTTGTTGCCTAGGTGATTTCAGTTTAGAGTTTACTCTATCTTTTCCTAAATTTTGCCAAAAAAAGTGTATAAAACGATATTTCTTTATAACATGTATATTTTTCTCTTTCAAAAGATAACGATAATGCATTTAGTCCACGAATACATTTTTCACTGATATTATGAGATTACAATTTTCAGTAGAATACGGTATTTTTAAAATTATACTATGCTCTTTTCAAAACTGTTACCAAATATTTACACGGCCATGTGTCTTTTCGAATTTCTAGGGTTAAAATCGATCCTTGAAATTATAGTTGAAATATGATAAATTAAAGTATTAGTAAGTTAGAGAGCGAAATAAAAAATCTTACTTTGGACATTTCTTTGTAGAATAACTGTTATATAGTAAGCAATATTTTGTTTCTGTTGATATTAGTAAGTTAGAGAGCGAAATAAAAAATCTTACTTTGGACATGTCTTTGTAGAATAACTGTTCTTAAGCAATCTTAAGATCTTAAGCAATATTTTGTCTGTGTTATATCAACGAATGTAATTTTATTAAACAAAGTAAAATTCAATTTATAATATATATTGTAGTATAGGTTACCACAACTTAGCAATCAAGCACATGTATTACACAGTTATGAGATACCTACAAATCGTAATTAAAGTCAAACATTCCATTATCGCAAGCCAAGGGTTTCTCATACGCTTCTCTCTTCATAATCCCTTGGCATACGGTGTTGATAGAAGTTATGTTTTTTTTACTCAGTGCACCCAGTCAACCAATCAGCAATTGTGTTTTGTAAATGACGATATTTGCCTTCGGGATACTTCTTGACTCTTTAATCTCGGAAATGAAAAGCGCAAGTAAACAACGATCCGTAAGATAACATGCAATTCTATGAATAGCTATGGTGTCATCCAATATCTTCTAAATATGTGATTAAGAATCTATATTGAAACTGCAAATTTGTACTATAAATAATAAATAAACATTATTGATTTATTGCTTCTTAATTGTTCTTGAGAAAAACGTAGATTAGATTTTTTATCCACATCTCTTTATTTCTGTCGATGACGCACCTGCGTACCTGAGATTCGAGATCACGTGACGGAAAACAATCCCGTCTTTTTACTTCACCGTATGCAAAGGGTTCATGAGGAAAGTAGCGTATCAGAAACCCTTGGTTAGCAAAGATGCAGATATTCATGAAATCCACAATTTTTTATACGTTTAGGACGTATATTATACTCCTAAATTTTTTATTCTTTTTAATGCTACAAATGACGTATTGTAGGAAACGACGTTATTCACGAGCTGACAAAGGGAAGGAACTCATCCCTCTACGTCTCCATCACATTTAGAAATGGTACAACATTATACGAACTGTATCAACTATTCTCTATTGCTGATGAGTCAGACAACTACAGACTCTTGCTCGGGGGACCAGCTACCGGGACCCTGGGTAAGTAATGGATAAATGATATGACTAAGAGAGAGAGAGAGAGATAGAGTAACCATTATCGTTTAAAAATAATTACATAATTGATATCAAAATCATTTTACTGGTAGTAGCATAAACATTTGATACCAAAGAACAATAGTTCTTTTCAACGTTCATAGTTACTTTCTCTCTCTCTCTCTCTCTCTCTCTCTCTGTTAAAAACTCACAGATCCGCTCATCCATCTCTGAATTGCCTTTGGGTTTAAAAATAATGAGACGGGTGAGTGGATCTGTGAGTTTTAACAGAGAGAGAGAGAGAGAGAGACAGAGTAAGTGAGAGAGAGAGAGAGAGAGAGAGAGAGAGAGAGAGAAGGAGAGAATTGCCTTTGTGTTTTAAAAATAATGAGACGGGTGAGTGGATCTGTGAGAGAGAGAGAGAGAGAGAGAGAGAGAGAGAGAGAGAGAGAGAGAGAGAGAAGGAGAGAATTGCCTTTGTTTTAAAAATAATGAGACGGGTGAGTGGATCTGTGAGTTTTAACACAGAGAGAGAGAGAGAATTGCCTTTGTGTTTTAAAAATAATGAAACGGGTGAGTGGATCTGTGAGTTTTAACAGAGAGAGAGAGAGAGAGAGAGAGAGAGAGAGAGAGAGAGAGAGAGAGAGAGAGAGGAGAGAATTGCCTTTGGGTTTAAAAATAATGAGACGGGTGAGTGGATCTGTGAGTTTTAACAGAGAGAGAGAGAGAGAGAAGAGAGAGAGAGAGAGAGAGAGAGAGAGAGAGAGAGAGAGAGAGAGAGAGAGAGAATTTGGGTTTAAAAGTAATGAGACGGGTGAGTTGATCTGTGAGTTTTAACAGAGAGAGAGAGAGAGAGAGAGAGAGAGAGAGAGAGAGAATTGCAGAGTAATCTGTGAGAGAGAGAGAGAGAGAGAGAGAGAGAAGAGAGAGAGAGAGAGAGAGAATTTTTTGTATTTAATGTTTATGCAACCGGTAGTAAAATCATTTTGATATTAATTATGTAATTACTTTTAATATATTTATCCTTTGTTTGCCTTAGTTTATAAATATAATGCATTTTTTAAATTTGGTTTCATTGTTTTCATTACTTATCTACATTGTATCTTTATTTTTTTAACATATGGATCTATTTTTCTATTTTTTTAATAGATTCTTTTTTTATTTTATTATTTATTCATTTATAATTATACTGCATATTTCACATTGTGAACATTAAAACTTTTTTTAACACTGATTAAGTCCTACGTGGTAAAGTTAGACTAGATAAATATCAAAGCATGGATAAAAGATGTAGCTAAAGGTATATTTTATCGTGCAGCAAAATAAGGAAGAGGGATATCATACATCAGACAGGATATTTCTTTTTTTTAATTTTATTCCCCATTCGTATTTGCTGAATTGTTGAATAAGTCAGTGAAGTTGTCTTGCTTTTAGTCCGGTATAGTTAATTTATAAAAGAAATGAACACAATCAACAGAATAAAGAGACTCTTTCAGGCTGAATGAAAATAATGTAGTTATTACTCACAAGGTTTAATGATAATAATGTAGGTATTACTGACAAGGCTTAATGATAATAGTGTAGGTATTACTCACAAAGCTTAATGAGAATAGTGTAGGTATTACTCACAATGCTTAATGATAATAATGTAGGCATTACTCTCAAGGCTTTATGAGAATAATGTAGGTATTACTCACAAAGCTTAATGATAATAATGTAGGTATTACTCACAAGGCTTAATGATAATTATCCAGGTATTACCTTTACTTCTACAGGAGACAGTATGTTGAACACCGGTTCTCCTTACTCCGATCTGTCTGGGATGTCCTTCAGTACCCCGGACAGAGATAACGACAGGTATAGATTTAACTGTGCTGCTTACAGTACCCGTAGAGGGGGCTGGTGGTTTAACTTCTGTCACCGAACCTTCCTTAACGGTCAATGGTCCCCGGAGTCCTGGTACAGACCATGGTATCCCACAGTAAGGAGTGGGACATCAGTGAGAGGAACCATGATGATGATCAAACGTCACTAGGTAAACATCCGTTATTCTTTGAACAAACACATTTCTTATCAATTTCCCTATCATTTTATGTTAAGTCTGTTTTATATTCTAAATTAATGGATTTCGGCAAAATAAGTTTAAGCTTTATTGTTGATCCTTTTTTTTTTTTGTTAATCTTTTTCTTTTTGTCTACAGTTACAGATAATTCGGGAGGAAAGAAATTGGTAGAGGATGCAATAGAATTCCCTCCTTAAAGTTTAAACAACGAATACTTGAATAGTCATCAATTATTACTTGTGAATAAAAAGACTTACTTCTATAAAATATACATTTTATATTTATAAAAATTTGACATAGTACATTAAGTTAATTTTGCTCATGGAGTGTTATTAACTTTGCTTACAAAATGTTGTATACTGTATTTAGTGATTTCGTCATTTTGTCAATAAATGACCTTTCTTCATTTCAGATTTTGTTAATCTTTTTGCTGTTAATCAAATGAGGCTAATAGTTTTGATTGGGTGAGATGACAAAAAATATTTGTGCTTTATTTCCTTCCTTGTTTAAATTTCTGAATTTGATTTGGCGTGTTTGTGAATTGCTATCTTCTTGACGGTCCAGATTATTGTTAAGAGAGAGAGAAAAAAAATAGAAGAAACTAAACAGAAAAAAAATCAGAAATGGGATTAAAAGATACCAAATTAATTTTTTAAGAATAACATCATATTATATTATTATAAAGCTAATCAATAGTCTCTAATAAAAAACAACCAAAAATCTAGAGAATTTTAGAGTTCAATATCTTAACGTTTTATTGAACGCTGACTTTGTATTACGCATACGAGTATGCCCGAAACATTCCGAATACGAGCGTTCAATATTGAACGCCTCGTTGTAAACAGAAAAGATCGCCTGGTCAAATTCTCAGAGCTTAATTAAAGTAATGAAGTGGCATTTAGGGAAGACGTGTTTATTTTTCACACAAAATGAAATTATTTAATAAAAATTGAATACATTACACCCCTTAAAACCAAAAAAGCAAATCATATCGCTCGGTAGGGTCATCAGAATGATGCAATATAAAACGCTTACATGACAGACGTTAAATACCAATATTTGAGAATTATTATTATGATATTTTAGGTGAAATAATTGTTATAAATTATATGGAAATGTTTTAGCTATATAATAAAGGAGTTATTGAACTTATATTGGTGAATATTGGCACTCGTTGGCTGTTCAAATGCACTCGGAAGTTCGTGCATTTGAACAGCCAACTGGTGCCAATATTCACCAATATAAGTTAAATAATATAAGTCCAATAACCCTATAATATTTTCAGATTTCAACGCGCGGAAATTTCTTCCTTTGCTACTTATACGATATTCATATTCAAAGAGATATTCATTTTAAATTGTGTTATTTGTGAACTCGCGCACAATTTTATTTAGATAAGCTTCATCAGGTACTAACTTTGATTGACGTCAAATTTATTCTGGTTCATTTAAACTAAGTGACGTTTTTAGAATTCTCCTTCGAACCGTAGGCACATAATTGCACGCATGTTATATTATTTTTATCATACTTTAAGGTTAAAATCTGATTTGATTAGGCGCATTTTACAATCCGTTTTTTACCCTCAGCAACACACTTAGCAATGGATATCATTACAGAAATGTCAAATACGTGCAAATCATGCGTGTCCGGTTTACCGTAGAATTTCCTAAGCGTTAACTGTGCGTTTGAAAGAAGTCGAATTTACTTGTCGTCAATATAAGCTTGCATCACACGTAGCTTACTTGAAAGCAACAAGCGAAAGACAAAATCGCGTGCAAGTGTAGCAATAACGCAACTTTATTTGAAAGGGGACTCTTGAGTATCATACAAAATATAAAACGTCGGTTTATTTTTCTTAACGTAGGTCGCGGGTTTGCTGACGTCATTAAAACTGGGTACGCAATTTATATGATTTGGGCGACTTTCTTGTGCACATCTGATTGTAACGTCACGGTGAGAAAGGGAAAAATTCGGTACATTATCTAGCTATAACTTTTGTTGAAATAGGTAGTTTTGTAAAACAGTATTCATAGAACATGCTGAAGTTATCAAAAATAATGAAGGCTCAATTCGATTTGAATGACCATCACTGAAAGTTTAGAAAGCGTTTCATTATATATATGTGTTATCAATCGCATCTTCTCGGGTCTATTCTGAGAGCACATGTACTTGTTTCGGAAATAAATTTTAACCTTTGTATCATGTATGATTTATAAATATCAAATACATGTATTAGATGTGTATAATTATAAAACAGGTTATCTAACTCCGAATTACACTCGATACCCCATCCTCAAAAATGCACTCATTTTAGTGTACACTTTCAGTGAAAATGCACTTACAAACTATTAACCATTGTCTTCTACTATAATTTATCTACACAACCATATATGGCATGCATGTCTTTGTTTTCGTTTATCTCCGTAAACAGTGTCAAAACTCTGCTCACCAATGGAAAGTCAAACTCAATTATGAAACGGTATGTGCTAATCTCGGACAAATCTATATACAGGTTGATGACAAATTAAAAACTGCTAAGGCACTACCAGGGTAATACTAATGAAACATAAACTAAATTATATACATTTTTTGAGAGGCATTGACCTCTTGTAAATAACCACAGGCACGTAGGATATGACCCCCTCCCTACTTACCATTTTTTACTTTCTAACGCCAGGAGTGAGTAAACTTTTTCCAGTTTTTGAATTTTAACTCCACCCTATATGTACTGACTCGGGACAGGAAATTCAGGAAACAACATGTAAATGCGTCCAATGATTTTATTTATGAGGATGATGAGATATGGCGATGACAATGACATGGAAATATGACTTGAAGTTGAAGTTGACATGGAAATGACGTAAATGACGTTGAAATGACGTTTATGACGTTGACATAGAAGTAGACTTGGAAATATGACTTGGAAATGACTTGGAAAATATGACGATGACGATTTACTACAAAAAATACAAAGAAAAAATACTACAAATACAAGATATTTCAAGCAAGTTATACATGATAACACATCCTAGCAAATAATCATGATGTTTTTGCATGTTCTAGAAAATACTTCAATACACAAAAACTGTCGTCAAAATGTAAACAAAGAGGCATAACTCTTCTTGACACAAATCATGTTAGAAAAACATGGCAGAAAAAAGATTTATCTCCCGTACGTAATAAATGTGCACATATCCAGCGAAATTACAATATGTATGTCAATATTGTACCTAACTTACTAATTGCATTATAATTATTACTCCAACATAGTGCACAAGTACTTTCAACAATAACTTGATAGCCAGGTTCATAAAATTGCTAAATTTACCGAGATGACAAATATACAGTGTATACAGCTAAATGATTTACATAGAAAAACTCACCAATTAGAAGTTTCCTTCGGTGAAATAAATATCAGTACAAAGACTGGAAAATATCATAGTAAACTAGCAAATGGCAAACTGGTAACAATTGCGGCACCAAGCCCTGCCGCGTTCTGCGATGATAACACGGGCTCTACACAAAAAAATACTGTGCCCCAAAAACGATGACGTCACATCACACTTAAATGACCCTAAAAAGTCTAGTTACCGAAATGGCCGTAACACTATATGTGCATGTTGATTTAATCGAAATATTTACTAATCGGAGACACATAAAGAATTATATAAATGGAAATCTGAAAAGGAAGAAGAGCGTGTTTCAAATTTATCGATGTCTGCATATTCCATGATTCTCTACGCTTTAGATAGTGATCATGCAAGTGAAGATTAAACGAAAAACATGTATTTAAAAACAACATAAAGAGATAAAAGGGTGATATCATTAATAACATGCAATACGTATTAAAAATCCGAAATAGGAAAACCTCCAGAAAAACAGAAAGGGGGGGGGGGTCGATACTCCAAGTGCCTGTGAGTAACGGCACGCGTTGTTGTTAGTTGCATGTACATATTTTATTCGATGCGTTGCTTTCCATGTTCACACAGTAGAATTTATGTTTCATGTATACATTGAAAGTCTAAGAGCAAAATAAAATCTGCCTGTTGATTTCGCCATATAAAATTAATGTTTAAATTATCGCCCAATTTACTCCTCTAAAAATTCCTTTTAATTATGCTTTTTTTCCCTATCCTTTATACGTATAAGCATAAAATAAAATCAAGTTAAGATTTATTATGGTTATTCGCTGCCTCTTTGTAAACTTAACAAAATCATTTTCAATATAAACACTGAATGCATTAATACTTTTGGCGGAAATTGATTCATAAGAAGTTATTGTTGATTTGATAGCCTTGCTGAACTTTCTAAAGAAAAGGGATATATACAAAGCGTAAAAAACATATTTCGGGGGTGGGAGTTGGGGGTGTTAGTAGTCCTTGCCTTCTGAATTATCTTCATACCTACGACTTTTCAAACAAACTTAGATCACAGATCTGCGATTTCAACGGGGATGGCGAGTCTGCCTTTTCCAGAGGGGAATACAAGATCACTTTTATTTTACAAATTCCGGCGAGAATCCGCGTATGAAAAAAAAAAGAAAAAGAAACGGTAAGAAATAAACATTTACAGAAAATTTTAAAAAAAAAGAAAATAAAGGACTGATTGTTGGTTTACGCCTTTTACGTGAATTTTCACTAACATTAGACGTAATAAACTGAAAGGGAAAAATGTCTAATAATTATTTTATTGAATTATTATGATACTGGTCATTTTAAAGAAGCGTTACGTGAATTTCCTTTTTCTTAAAATCCGTATAATTTTTTTTTTTTGCTCTGTATACCGGATCGATATTCACAACGTCAAGCGTGACGTCGCGATATTTTATGACGTTGTTCTTACAAATGCTACATTTTCCAATATAAAAACAATTATCTACAATTAAATTACGAAAAAATGAACTCGAAGACATATTATTTTTTTTTACATAGATTTATTTCAAATCGATTCTATTTTTAAATACCAAAGTATAAACAAATTTGTCTGCAAGATTTAAAAGTTATGTATATTTTTTAAATGAAAATCTTGCTTGAAAACAAGCCAAAAACGACGTTTTCCCTATACAATTCAATAGAATACAGTTGAAAATGTAACTATAACAATGACATCTTTGGAATTCAATTACACAAAAACGGTGCAGACGAATTTTATAAAATTTTCAGAGAATGGAAATCAAAGGTAGAGAAATCATATAGGTAATTTTCATGGTATGTTTTCGAACACTTTTAAAAGCCCTGTAAACCCGAGACCTACGTTAAGTTTCTTATTGATATTAATAGGAGCATGGAGCTTGACATTTTCCTAATAAAAATGTAAAGACGACCATTTCTTTTTTCCTGACATCCTTAATTTATAAGACAAGAGGGTGGGGTTGTTAAGTTGAAATTAATGTATGTAAAAGAAAAGATTCT